TTTTCAATCTCAAGATCAAAATATTGGTAATAAAATATTTGTTTGAGGTTTACTGAACGTTTCCAGGATCTGCAAGCTGCTGCAGGATCAGAGCTCTGAGCTTCTGACACAATTATAGTTTTTCAGCTGCTGGTTTCAGACAGATATAAGTCTAACAACCACTACAAGGTTTCAACTTGTTAAGCAGCCGAATTATCGTTAAAATGACCCAATCTAATGATCTAATATAATTTACAATAAAATGAAAATAAGATATATTTCACTTGATCTGTAATTGTCTGATTCCGTTTTAATTTGGATCTTTTCCTTCTCCCTTCTCTTCCAGTCTTGTTCTCTGTCATTCAGTCTCACTAACAGCAGTGATGAAGGTCCGTAAGCGGTTCAGATGGTTCTGGAGGATTTTCCCACACAGACTTTCACTCTGACAGATAATAACGATTCACAGGAAGTGAAAACTCCCAGCAACGCCATCAGCAGAATCCCTGTCCAGTTTGTTTTCAGAGGAAAAGCTGCTCAGATTGATCAGATTGATTTCAACTCATCAATCTGCTCTGGACAAGATGAATTGATGTTCATGCTACTGTTGAATCTGTTGGTAAATATTTGAAATATGAATAATTGCTACACTTTAATATAGACACTTTTCACCTAAAATACATGAAGGAATGTAACAAAACTAAATTTAACATCATATTAAAATATTTACCTTCCAATCAGCAGCTGGATATTATTTAGGTTTACAAATAGCAACCACAAAACCAACATTTTTATTTTAAATTAACTTTTTTTTTTGACACAATTCATATTTGAATGTTTTAAAGTAATTAAATGTTTATCAACATAAAATGTAATTAAATTAGTCTAATCTCTAAGCTGATGTTTTTTCCAACAAGTTTTTTGACATGAATTCACATTTTGAATGATCATTATATTAAATAAAGGCAGTGAGCTGGATTTAGTAGATGCTGCTAAATATTGAGCTGTGTTGTTATGAATGCTGGACGTTTCTTCAAATGAAGCTGGTTGAGTTTTAAAATCTGCTCACAGATAAAATTGTTCCCCTTCACGTATTAATTTTTTTTTAAAACAAAAGGTTTTTGATTTTTCTAGTTACTGCAAATCATACTTCACAGTTTTTATCTTTGAATGTAACCTTTCAGCCATCAGAGTTTTTCCTCATACCAGGTAACATCCTGGTCCATTAAACTGTGACATACCAGTGAACCATCCATGGATGGAGTGGTGGGTGTGAATCAGAATCTATCTGTGGAAGAATAACTTCATTTGTCTCTAATAACTCTCAGTCTTTCTCAGGAAACCTTCAGTCTGTCACCATGTTGTCATTTGTGTTGCTGCTGCTGTTAATCAGCGGAGCTGAAGCTGCTTTTTATGGCGCCGCCTTTAGTGTTTCTGTTGGAGACCTTCAGTCAGATGGATACCTAGTAAGTTGAGCTTCTTCAGAAAAATAATTGTTTTGTTTGGTTTTTTTTTTTCAGGAAAAAATAAGATGTATTTACCAACTCTTCACTTTAATTCCACAGTCAACCCTAGAGTACAGGTTGAGCTCCAGCTCATGTGAAGAGTTCGACTCTTTGTTTTGTGGTGGAGACTGTAGAGGGTATCCAGTTTATCTAATCGATGAAAGCAGAGGTGAATGGTGTCAGAAAGTACATTCTCCAAGTTTCTCCCTGTACCCTTCAATCCTGACTATCTATGATTCCGTGTAAGTCCACTTCAGCATTTAATGGAAATATATTTTATGTTCATATTATAACCAAGAACAGATCAAAATCCTAAACTCCTGCAGGACTGATTCATCAGTTGGGTTGATTAGGTTTTGCTCCTTTCTAAAGAAGAATACATATAATCAGATGATATCCAATTTTGTTTGTCTTTCGAGATTTAACCTAAATGCTGCATTATTTCACCATAACATTCTAAATCTTATCATCCACTGTAGGTTTTCTGCTACAAACTGGACAGAAAACAGAAATGGGATTGGCTCATCAAGAATTAGATGGCACTTTGACTGGAGAATCCGTTCTGACATCAACAAACCAGGCTCATCACCCCAGACCACCATCATCCCTCTGGTCAGGTAATTCTGTTCATCATTTACAATATTTTATCCATAAACTGAGCCTTTGATTGACTCCAATATATTGAGATGATCATTGTGTATGCTTTGTATTATGTTCTTAATGAGCATTTGCAGATAAAACTATGTGAATCAGGTTCTGAAGAAGAGAGCAGAATGTTAGATGAAGCAAAACATGTGTCATGATCTGTGTTTCTGTGTTTATTTTTGAGATTTTCTGTGTTTAGTCCTGTTTCCCTGTGAGTTTCTGTCCTGTCCTCCCCGTTGATTGATCCCATCTGTGTCTCGTTCCTGTGATTACCCTCCCAGTGTATTTAGTCTCACCTGTTGTCTGTGTTCCTTGTCTAAGTTTGTCAAACGTAGGTCTACTTGTGTCTTAGTCTGCAGGCGCAGTTGAACTGCCAAGTCCTGTGCTGGCTTTAGCTCATCGTGTCAGTCTTTGTTTTGAGTCAGTTGCTACCGGTGCTGAGCCTCCGTCTTTTCCGCTCTGCTCTGCTGCCTGCCAGTTTTTGACTGTTGAGCATGTTCATTAAACTCATCATTTTTCATACCTGGATCCTGCGTCTCTCCTCACCTCCTACCACCACTACTCTTGGCAACATGATTAATGTCATAAAAATACAAGGCTGATTACAAAAGTAGATTTTTTTATCTGATAATCCAGTTGATGCTGTTTCTTCTAAGTGAACATTATTGCATTGAAAAAAAACAACATTCAGATAGATCACTGCAAAATAAATTTGGGTAAGTTTGTTCTGTAGAAAGTTCACTACAAAACTGAAGTGAAACTATTCTGTTTGTTCCATATGGAATCAGTAATAATTAAAATCACATTTTTAACAAGAAGAAACCTTGAAGAACCAGTCAGACAGGTTTAAAATGATGAAACAAACACCTGAAGGGACTGATGGAGGTGTGGTTGGTATGTTCTATGAGATGTTTCTTTTCCCTCAGAGTTCCTTCGAACTGTCAGAGAAACATCAACCTGTTGGTCTCTGACCCGGATGGAGACGACGTCAGATGCAGATATGCAGCCGGATCAGAGTGTTTCACCTGCACTCCTCCGTCTGTCCTCAGTGTCTCATCAGTGAGTATAAATGTTGGAGTTACAAGAACTTGATTTGCAGTCAGTAACCCTAATCAGCTTGAATTTACCAAATATTTTATTAAATGTGACAAGTGAATAAATGTGAAAGAGTTCACCCTGGGATGAATTTCTTATTTCTCATGTCTAGTGATTCTTTAATGTTAGATTCATTTCCTAGTCCCTTGTGTACTCTCCTTTGGCCCCTGTGCCAATCTCTCTCTCTCTCTCTCTCTCTCACTCGCTCCTTCTCAACTTGCAACCGGTTTCTAATCAGCCATGTGTTTCTAATCAGCTATGTGTTCTTTGTAGTAATCAACCTCCCCAGTATGCATACAGCCCATTCTTAGTCACTCCTTGTTGTGTAATTCCTCCTATTATATCCCATAATCTCCCTGTTCAACCCTTTTCAGGCGTTTTTCCACTAGACCACTTCTAACTAGTACGGTCTCGGTCCGGCCAGATTAATTTTCCATTAGCAGATCTGGCATGGCTCTACCTCACTGTTCTCAGATTTTGGTGCTTACTCCAGGGGTAGTACTACAGGACCAAGCCAGGTATGGTATTGAATGATTGATTCATGATTACCTGACAGCAAACTTCAAACATTAAAGCTGTGTATTGCAGACATGTCTTCTGCTATCAGAGAGCTGCTCAGTACAGAGGAGTTTGAGTTTAATCACAATCAAAGCCAGGATGCACTTAGTTTCGGAGCAGAATGAATGAGATTTAGCAGTGCTGCTAGCAGTTTGTTTCTCTGAAGTACGAACAGCAATAAAGAAAAAACGATCCAGCCTCTCCGCTTCCTGAGAGTGGGAAAGACTGGAAATACATAATATTAACTTGTGATGTGAATTTTCTTCTCTTTTGGATTTAAAACTAAGTTCATACGTGAAAGTCCATTAAAAGTGCCAACTTTGCATTAAATTATCATAATTTACAAAATCATGTAAAGTTGGCACTTTTAATGGACTTTTAGTGCAACATTTAGAGCAACTTTGCATTAAAAGTGTCATTATTTACTGAATGACACTTCATGACATCCGTCATAAACATTCATAAAGACTCCTTCATGTTTACGACAGTGTCATGTCAGTCTTATAAACACCCCTTCAAATAAGGTGTTACCCCTTTTTCTGATTTGTGAAACTTCAGAAAAGGGCGATTTTACCACTTTTTTTTATCTTGGTCACATGACATCTGCTCTTGCCCATTTCCCTCCTGTCCTGCCAGATTGACAGCCTTCAACTTAAAAGGTGCATCATATGAACTTTTGTGTGGTTTCTGTGATGAGGTGTATGGGTTTGAAAACATTTCTCCGTCGTGCCTGTTGCTAGCATGTGCTTGTTCTAAATGAAAATCAGCACTTTCTTCTTTGATTTCCAATTTTGACTTCAAATGATTCACTTCCTGCTAAAGAGCCCCCTGGTGGTTGAAGAAAAATCCTCAGAAAAGCTTCACCAGGTTATAAGCCGCCTGGTTCAAAGCTGAGGAAAGCAGTAGAGGCCTATAGTCCAAATAATACGGTATATGTATTGCAAAATAGTCAGCTGATCTGAGTCTTTATCATTATGTTTGGGCCAGTTGAATTTCTATAAGACATATTGAAATATCTGGGTTTATTTTAGTCCATCAGAACTAGAACCTCGAGTGTCTCTGTGGCTGAGTGTCTGCAAACATCAGCAGAGAAACCTCAGCTGCTGCTGCTCACGACCCACCCACAATAACAAGGAACAGACCGTATAAATGGAAAAGATCACTCTCTGGGGAAGAACCAAACCGTACATTAAGTAAGAGACTTAATGCCAGTGGTAAAGCGCATTTAGAGCCTGTTCAAACTGGGATGGTTTTCATGCTTTTGTTTGTTACTGATATTTTCTTGTTCTCCTCTGGTTCCCTGTCCTCCCATATTTTTTGTATTAAATCTTCAAATCTACTCCGTGCCTCAGCCTCTCTGCATTCGGACCCTTTTCAACATTCTACATAACATGACAGAAATGCTGTTAAAATTATGGACTTTACATTACTAGACTTTTTATGACATATTAGTGCTTTGATGTATTTTTGTTTTATCTAGTTTACTTTCAATCACTTATCTAATGAATAACCCCAGAGAAATCTGGTCATGTTTTGTTGAATCTGATTTTTAGTAATAAAATGACAATAAAATATATTTTACTTAATCTATAATCCTTTGATTCAGTTTTAATTTGGATCTTTCTCTTCTCTTCCAGTCTTGTTCTCTGTCATTCAGTCCCACTATCAGCAGTGATGAAGGTCTGTATGCGGTTCAGATGATGATGGAGGATTTTCCCAGACAGAACATCACTCTGACTGACCGCTATACTAGTGTACAGTCAGTGATGACACCCAGCAATCCCATGTACAAGATCTCTCTCCAGTTTGTTTTCAGAGGTAAAACTGCATCATTTGATGAGCTTGATTTGAACCACATAGAGCAGCTCTGGACTTGGAGTGTTTGTTTCTGAGCTGAATATGTTGGATTTATTTGAAGTTATTTCAAATATCAGTAACTACTACAGATTAAAATAGACAAGTCACACTTTTGGCCCAAAGTCCATGAAGGAATATATCACAACTAAATTTAACTACAACTGCAATATCTTGTTTGATTAAATATTTACATTCCAATAAACACCTGTTGTTTGAGTTAATGACCAAACTGATCAGCTCCTTTCAGCTGGAATTAATTAGTTTCTTGGTTATTTTCTTCCAGTGGATCCTGCAGCTCCGTCCTGCACAGCAGGTGAATATCTGCCCAGGTTTCTGCCTCCAACTCCTGAACATGGAGCTCAGATCCACACCAACGTTAGTGAGACTCTGGAAATCAGCGTCAGAGCAGAAGCTACCCAGGCTGAGTGAGTGATCAATACAGGAGCTTCCTAAAATGAAAGCTGGATTGTGTCAGCATTTTCAGGAGACAAAATCTGGAGTTCAATTTCTCTGACTGAAAATAAACAGTGAAAAACCTAAAAACCAGAGGCGGTCTCAGCTTGTTTGGCAGCCTGGGTGACCCACCTTTGCGGCGCCAACAACTCTGTTGGCAAAGGGAGCTGGGGGGATGTTGGTGTATTAGTGTCATGATTTGCAGGTGTTGATGGTGAGGAAGACGCAGGTGAGCCCAGGTTGAAGATGATTAAATGATGAATATTTAATAATAACTCCAGCACACGGAACGGAACAACTGGGAAACAAGACGTACAACCATAGACAAGGACCTGACAAGAAACAAAGACAATAGGTAGACTTGAATACACAAGGAGGGTCATCACAGGAACGAGACACACCTGGGAACAATCAGGACAGGACGGCACAGAGACTCGCAGGGGAACAGAACTAAACAAACACAGAGAAACCTCAATATAAATACAGAGAAAACACAGATCCTCACAATTAGGTACTGTTGACAATTGGATCCTGTGGTTGTAAGAGCAGGCGGCTGGAAGAGGGAGTGGGAGGTGGGTGTGAGGTCGCACATGCTGCCCCCCACGAGATGCCAACCTGGTCAGTTGCCCATTTCAGAAACCACCACTGCTAAAAACTGTATATCAGTGAAAAACTCAAAAACACCTGTTTGAGGAGGTTGGGAAGCTTTGGAAATATCTAAACTGTCTCTCCTGTTTATTAAAGGATCACTGAGCTTCTGTTCAGCGGACCGCCAGGTGTAACCAAGAGTTCATCAGGATCAGGAAACTTCAGGCTGACATGGACACCAATTGACAGTGGCAGAGGACTGAAGAAAACTCTCTGCTTTGTTGTCCAAGCAAAGTTAGTGTCTTATTAATTTTACTGTTGTTTCAACTGTTAACTTCTTGTTTCCTCTCAGTTATTTTCCTATCCATAGAAGCTACATCTGGCCTGGAGTTTTATTTGGTCTGATTCCTTCAGCTGAGATAAATCTCCCGACATCTAATCATTCTTCCTCTCCTGCTAATAACCTTTTACTTTCACGAACATCAAAAATAACCTTAATCCAGTTCATTTGTTTCTTCTTGTGTGTCCGCTCTTTTTTTCTCAAACCTCCATTTGTCGCAGATGGCTGCTTGTACTGAGCCTGGTTGTGGTTCTGCATCTACTAGAGATTTATTCCTGTTAAAGGGGAGTTTTTCCCATCCACTGTCGCTTTGTGCATGCTCGGCATGAGGGATTGCTGTAGAGTCATCAACAACGCAAATGATTTTCTACTGTCCAAGAGGAGTAAATGCTGCAAGTCAATGACTTGATGTAATGTCTGGGGTTTCCTTAGTTATAATTTTTATATTGGATTTTGAATAATTACTTGTTATGTTGAAGTCATAAAAGAAAAAAATGTCTTTAGTGCACAGCTAATACCGGAGCAACTGAAAAATTGAGGACTGAAAGAGAGAGCTAACTAACATAGGACTTACAGTACGACTGTAATGGCAGGCAGACAAATGCCATTCGATGAGGATCCGACAAGAGACAAAGCTAACAGGTGGGACTAAATACACAGGGAGGGTAATCAAGGAATGAGACACAGCTGGGACGCAATCAATGGGAAGACGCAAAGACAGAGACTCACAGGAAAGCAACTGAACACAGAAAACCCTAAAAATAAATGCACAGAAACACAAATCATAACATTCAGTTCTGATTTATAGGAACCAAAAGTTTCAGGGAATGTGATTCAGAGCTGAACAACATAAAAACCAAAAGATGTTTACTTCTAGTCCTTAAAGGGGAAGGACTAGAAGTAAGCACCACTTAAAGGGGAAGTATTCTGCAAAATCAACTTTTTTGAGCTTTTCACCATGTTACAATTTTCTCATCAAATGCTTACCTGGAGTGTTGCTTTAAGTTTTTCATGCATGTTTCATTATTGGAGGTGTAATTCAATTTCATGCAAAGGACTGCCTATTTACCTAAAGCTCCACCTTAGAGCTGCAGCCCACTGTTGAGCTTTTGCTTCACAGAACATCTCCTCCCCTTTGACTCCCTCACTCAGCTCCTTCAGACTAGCCAGCAGCAATTAGCAAACTGTGCATCAGCTGAGCTCATTATATGAGTAACCTCTCAGTGCAACGTAATTAAAAATGTTAAGGGTTAATAGAGGAGCCATGTTGTGATGACTTCCTGAAGGCGGAGTTTCAGGAAGAACAGGAGTTTGTAAAGAGACAGAGGCTAAATTATAAGGCTTTAAATCATGAAGTCAAATTTTGTTTGAGTCATATTTGATACAAATAGGATTTTTTAAATCAATGAAGGTAACTAGTTACTTTATCACTGGGTTACTTGATTCCTTGAAGAACTGTTGTAAACAGCATCATGGAGAAAAGTTTGAGCTTTTTAAAGGGACAGAGGCCAATTTTAGAAATTGGTGCGATGCAAAGTCAGATTTCTTTTGAGTTGTTTTATATGCCTGGACATAATCTCTCCTCCACATTAAGCAGATCTCCTAGGCGTCTGAATGGTTCATCCTTGATAGAAAACTAAAACTTCTTTTGGCACAAAATCATTTAGATCTTTATAGACCAATTTAAGAATCTGCTCTTTAACAAATAGAAGACGAAGGAAACTAATGAAACACTGGATTCATCACCACTGAATCAGAATCTCATTTTCATAAATCCTGCACCTCTGGCTTTGATAGTTGCTTTATATCAGCTTAATACTGAGTTGGTACAAACTGTTATTTTAAGACTTCATTAAACTGAATTGTCTGCTTATTTTATGAATAGTTTTATATCTAAGCTGTTGCTTTATTTACCTCCTCAGCTCCTCTGGCTCTGTGTACCAGTCTGACCTTCGGTGCGTCTTTGTGACGGATGGAGAAAGTGAGTAGAAATCTCTGCTTTGGTCTTCAGTTTAAATTCAATCAGTTTTTTCCTGAACTGATAATGTTACTGCTGATCTGCTGCTCCATCCACAGGTCCACCAACTGTTTCCCCTCCGATTGTAGCTGCTACCACGATTACACCCAGTATGACCACACCTCTATTCACAACTACACCTCCACCAGCTATACCTATAACAGCTACAACTACACCTATAACAGCTACAATTCCACCAGCTACACCTATAACAGCTACAACTCCACCTATAACAGCTACAACTCCACCAACTACAACTCCACTAGCTACACCTATAACAGCTACAACTCCACCAGCTACACCTATAACAGCTACAACTCCACCAGCTACACCTATAACTACAACTCCACCAGCTACAACTCCACCAACTACACCTCCCCCAACTACAACTCCACCAGCTACACCTATAACAGCTACACCTCCACCAGCTACACCTCCACCAACTACACCTCCCCCAGCTACAACTCCACCAACTACACCTCCACCAGCTACACCTATAACAGCTACAACTCCACCGGCTACACCTATAACGGCTACAACTCCACCAAATACAACTCCACCAACTACAACTCCCCCAGCTACACCTATAACAGCTACACCTCCACCAAATACAACTCCACCAAATACAACTCCACCAGCTACACCTATAACAGCTACACCTCCACCAGCTACAACTCCACCAGCTACACCTCCATCAGCTTCACCTATAACAGATACACGTATAACAGCTACAACTCCACCAACTACACCTCCACCAGCTACACCTATAATGGCTACACCTCCACCAAGTACAACTCCACCAGCTACACCTATAACAGCTACAACTCCATCAGCTACACCTCAACCAGCTACACCTATAACAGCTACACCTCCACCAACTACACCTCCACCAACTACACCTCCACCAACTACAACTCCACCAGCTACACCTCAACCAGCTACACCTCTAACAACTACACCTCCACCAGCTACAAATATAACAGTTACAACTCTACCAGCTACACTTATAACAGGTACAACTCTACCAACTACAATTCCACCAACTACAAATATAACAGTTACAACTCTACCAGCTACACCTCTAACAACTACACCTCCACCAGCTACAAATATAACAGTTACAACTCTACCAGCTACACTGATAACAGCTACACCTCCACCAGCTACACCTCCACCAACTACACCTCCACCAGCTACACCTATAACAGCTACAACTCCACCAGCTACAATTCCACCAGCTACACCTCTAACAGCTACACCTCTAACAACTACAACTATAACAGTAACAACNTATGTTTTGTATTATGTTGTTAATCAGCATTTGCGGATAAAACTATGTGAATCAGTTTCTGAAGAAGAGAGCAGAATGTTAGATGAAGCAAAACACGAGTAATGTCATAAAATACAAGACTGATTACAAAAGTAGATTTTTTTATTTGATAATCCAGCTGATGCTGTTTCTTCTCAGTGAACAATATTGCATTGAAAAAAAAATAAAAAAAATTCAGATAGATCACTGCAAAATAAATTTGGGTAAGTTTGTTCTGCAGAAAATTCATTGCAAAACTGAACTGAAACTATACTGTAGTTTGTTCCATAAGGAAACACAATGATGACTAAAATAACATTCTTATCAGGAAGAAACCTTGAAGAACCAGTCATGAATTATGAAGGTGATCATAACAAACACCTACAGGTGTTTGTTATGAAACAAACACCTGAAGGGACTGATGGAGGTGTGGTTGTGATGTTCTATGAAATGTTTCTTTTCTCTCAGAGTTCCTTCAAACTGTCAGAGGAACATCAACCTGTTGGTCTCTGACCCAGATGGAGACGACGTCAGATGCAGATATGCAGCTGATCCAGAGTGTAACACCTGCACTCCTCCTTCTGTCCTCAATGTTTCATCTGTGAGTGTCAAATGTTTCAGTTGCAGGAATTGGATTTGCAGTCAGTAACACTAATTAGCTTGAATTTACCAAATGTTTTAATTAAATTTGACAAATGAATGAATTGGAAAGAGTTCACACTGGGATGAATTTGTTATTTCTCATGTCTAGTCATTCTTTATTGTTAGATTCATTTCAGAGCCGTGGAGAGACCACTAAAGGGGCAGGTGCTAAAAAAAAAACAAGAAAAAAAAGGCACATCTTACCACATTCTAGACAGAAT